GGCTGGAGTCCGAGTCGCATGCGCCGAAAGGATGGCACACTTACACGACGCACAGCAAAAGGCCCTATTTTTTAGTCGGCAAACTTGAGACAAACTACTGATCGCCTCAACTGTAAGTAGTACGAAGTGTAGTAGCAATCACAAAAAATTAGCATACTGTCCCCTTGGATGGTGGGAAGACGAGCACGCCTGTGGTGTAGCCCATTCCTGATCTTCAGGTAACCAGGGCAACTGGTTTTGTCATCTTTTCCTGCCTCAGTTCCTCTGAGACGCGACTGCCAGGCGTCGATCGACGGCCAGCCGAGTCTTCAGGTCCCTCATCCCTCCGCTCGAGCACACGATCCGCCCGACGTCCCGACACAAAGTCCTTTCCGCCCCCCGCTGCGCTCGCCTCAGCCTCACCCACTCTGCAGACTCGTTGGTGTTGGGGCTGCTCTTTTGTGGCCTCAATCCGGTTCCGGTTCCGGTCCACTGATGCCGCCAACCTGAACTGTAGCGGTGAAGAGACACAGAACTGGTTGGTCAGCATTCTTTGATTCTTTTTCCCAGACGTTATGATCCTGCTTCTGTCTTCCCTTCCCACCCCCACTGCCGCTTGCTCCGGCTACACTCTTCATTCACCGACCAGCCTTTCTCTCTCTCGCAGCAGCCGCTTCGCTCATACAGAGCCACGCATTCCTTCTCCTCTCCTTCCTCCTGCTCCTTCTATTCATATCGCTGCTAATACTAACACTGAGAAGAAGAATACTTATTCTGTGATACTACTACAACTACTACTAAGCATTATATTTATTATTCTCCTCCTCTTACCACTATTATTACCACCATCCCCGTTACTACATCTAAGAATAAAATACTCATTCACCTGCTACTATTAAGATTAATTTTACTATAACTTACTCTCCTACATCTCATCCTCCTTTTACTGTGTCTACCAATGATGCTAATGGGGGTGATGGGGATGAGGAGAATGAGGAGAATGAGGAGGAGGATGCTGAAGATAAATGTATATATGATTGTGAAAATGGTGGCGAAGTTGATGACAGTGACGATGATGATGATGACAATAATAATAATTATAATAAAGTTTATACTCATTCTCTTTCAATAATACTAATACCACTACTCCTCTTACTTTTTATTACTCTTCATATACTACTACTTATACAAGTAATAATAGTAACAGCAACAATATTAATAATAATCACATTTATAATCACGATCATCCTCCTCCTCTTGCTACTAATTATACTACTAATTATACTGATGATGATGATGCTAAAAATAAATATGAGAACGAAGAGGAAGATTATTATTATTCAACTGTTCATTTTCCTTCTATTACTTTTATTATTACTACCACAGACACCTCCCATTCTTCCTTTCTTCGCCCTCCTATTTCCACTACTTTTAATGATGCTAATACAAGTAATACTGCCACTAATGTTAATGATAATATCTATTAATCTACTTTCTCCTCCCTTTATCTTTCTCCACGTCACCAACTCACTGTCTGCCTTGGAAACAGTGCAAGAGGCTCGCCTCCTCCATCCAACTCAGATAAGACCCCCATTGCTTGTCGCCCCGTCCTGCCCTCAGCTTCTTTCTTGGTCTTTCCGAATGCTCTCTCTGCAACCGCCCAAGCAGGAAGCCCACGACCTGACTCAAGGTTTTGCATTATCAAACGTTTGTCCCTATTTGCCTATCAATCCCTGCCGTTGTGTGTATGTGTGCATGTGTACGCATAGAAGAGTGCGGATTTGCCGTATAGAGGGGCCCGCGGTAATAGCAAAATGCCCGATCCGACTTGCTTGGACAGGCGACGCTTCCGTCTGGGAGCTAATCTGGCAGGCGGTGTTTGTGTTGTGCGAACTAGTATTTCTCGCCATGTACGCGCATATCTATGTATGCCTCTGTGTGCATGTGTATGTGTATGCATGTGTGTGTGTATATATATATATATTTGCATGCTATACCCGAGGCACCAAGTGTATATACTGCAAAATTGGGCCACTCACGATCACCCCAACCAGCGCCAGACTTGGCACACTCGAGCCGAGCCGGGCCGGGCCGGGCCGTCAGGTTGCGCCCTAATGGCCGACTCCGAGTCCGAGTCCGAGT